CTCCTTTAATATTGCAGCCATGGAGGCTGGTATCTGGAGCAATGATGACAAGGCCATGTCATGGATATGGCCAGACTTGGATATGAAATTCTGTTCTGTGCAAGTTAAACCAGATAGCCAGTAGAGTGCAGGACACTTTCCACTCTCTGCCTGTTGTGGTAGGTAGACAGCAAATCTCATTTTACATTTCAGCTCAACACTGTCATGTTCAAAAACTTTCTGGAGCCTCCCAAAGCACCTGTTGCTGGAAATCTGCTTCAAAGCCATTCTTCTCCTGTTTAGTTACTACTTGTTCTTTCTGTCTGCACCAAAGGGCAGTGGATCTCAGTGAGAGACAGCTCCAGGGCCCGGAGTGTTTTTTTTTTTTGTGCACACAAAACAAGCCATCAATTCATCATCTTTTCAGGGAGTGTTTTTTTTTTTGTGCACACAAAACAAGCCATCAATTCATCATCTTTTCAGCACTTATTCCCTAGTTCAGTTTCTCTTTGACTGGGGTAGATGAAATGGAGTTTAGCATTTAAGAACTATTGGTTTTTAAAAAGAAACTACAAAACCTTTTGCATTTGAAGCCTTTATAACTGTATAAATCCAAGTGCACCCATCACATCTCCATCCCTGTAACTCCTTAGGAGCAGTGAGTAAATGCCACAGGGGCCCTTCTTCCTTGCTATTGAGCTTTTGCATGAAGAGCTTCTTTGGAAGTTATAGCGTCACTGGCCAAACTCTATCATCTCTACCTGCCTCTGCTCTCTTACAATTACAATGGGATTATGTGGAGTCCCATTTCCAAGGAGGCATAACAGCCAGCACATTTAATTGGTAGGAAGCACTTTAGGCAGGGTCTGGGAATGATCAACATTAACTATCTTAGTGCAGTCTATTTTCCTAGAATATTCTTACCTGACTTTTCCAAGGTCTGCTTCCCACCTTGTCATTCTCCTCTCCTTTCTCCTGATTGTCTGTCCATGTCTTGCACAGTCATGCCCTGTCTGACAAAGACTTCACCAAAGAGAAGTTCTAAGGGTCTTCCAAAGATCTCAGGGGTGAAGAATTTTGTTTCTTGGGATTTTTGGGGGTGGGTCTTACTTCTCTCCTGTTTCACACACTTTAAACATTTGTTGACTAGGAACAACTGTGACTCCAGTTCCAAGCTAGCCAAGGCCCACTGTCATCATGTGCCTGCACACATGTGCTGTGCAGAAACTCATATGGGTAAACACATATGCGTAAATAAAATTGCACATATCTTTAAAGAATTTAAGTTATCAAGTGACAATACTTTCTATGCTCAAAAATGTCTTATTAGCTAATAATATTTTTGTGCATACAGGGAATAAACTGCAATACTTCTGTTAGCTTTCCTCACAATGGCCCTGTTACAAGGATAACATTTCCTTTATAAGGAGGAAGGAATGGAGTCAAATGCACATATTGAAAAGCAAGTTCAGGGTGCAAATATTGAAATTCAGACTTTTCCCAGTGATCTAAGGGTGCTTCTCCTAGTTACTATGTCTTAATGACACACACCTGAATTCCTAATTGCCTAACTTCTGTTTCTTTAGGTGTTAAATGTCAGACACACATGAACTTTTTTTAGACTGGGAAAGACACATAATATTTAGACAACATTTATTACCTCAGTGCTAGTTTATCAAAACGTATAACTTACTACGTATTTAAATGCTATTTATCTGTCTTTGCTTCATCACCACAGATCTTCATAAACAATGAATGGTATGACTCAGTGAGTGGCAAGAAATTTCCTGTCTTTAACCCCGCAACTGAGGAGGTCATCTGCCATGTGGAAGAAGGGGACAAGGTAAGTTTCCCAGCACCCATAGGTTCAGTTCATGCCAGGAGTCTCTGTGTCTCATTGTTCTGAGCATAAAGCCCATTGCAAGTTCAAAGAAAGACGTGAAAATATGATTTCTCAGGCAGTTGTGTAAATGTTCTGTTGTCCTTGGCATAAGAAAATTTGCTATATATACATCTGGTAGAGAATAAATATAATGCACAAGAGCTTAAAAAAATCTCCATAAAATTGAAAGAACAAGAAACAGTAAAAAACATGGGCTATAGATCCAATGTTAGCATTTCCAATGTCTGGGAATCTAGAATAGGGATGTGGGGTCCAAAACTTCAATGGTCTGAAGCTACTATAGCACAGTGAAGTATGAACTATTAAATAACTTGTCTCCTTTCTTGAGGGTTAGCACAGCATTTAATATGGGGCTTGGAGTTTCAATAGAATAACATATTTAGGGTACCTGTCAGCTAGTCATGCTTTCTCCTCAACAATTAAAATCAAACTAAAAAAAGAAGACTATGAATCTGTAGATGTCAGCTAACAAAAAGTTATATTCTTGGTACCTTAACATTGAAGCCTTGACCGTTAAGTTCCTGGGGGACATCTTGCTCTGACACTAGGGTTGGTTCCATCAGGAAAAGAAAATTCTCTGCTTGGGTTCAGTGGAAACCTTGTCAAGCAAGCTGAGGACTTTGCTAGGAGAGTCAGTGCAGTTCACTATTTTCCTCAGGCGCAGAAGGGAAAACTGGTGTCCATCCCAAAGGCCTTGCCAGGGAGCACTTGATCTGCTCTGTGCTAAGTGACAACCACCCTTCCTGTAGAAAGATTAAGGAAACTAATTCATACCCAGGCAAGCTGCAAGCCAAGTCACTGTGCCAATCTGGCTGTCTGGATTCATTTGAATCCTCTAAGGCATTGATTCTCAACCTGTGGGTAATGGTTCAACTGAGGGTGATATAGAACAACCCTTTTACATGCATCACCTAAGACTAATGAAAAACAGATATTTGAATTATGATTCAGAGCAGTAGCAAATTGACAGTTGTGAAGTAGCAACAAAAATAATTTTATGGTTGGGGCCACCACAAATGAGGATCTGTTTTAAAGGGTCACAGTATTAGGAAAGTTGAGAACCATTGAGGTAAGGAAATTGTCAGTAATATAATCTATGATAAGCAAGAACTCGCCTCACAACCACACTCCTGTGTCTGTATTCCTTTTGGAATTATTAAACAAACTGTCCTTTCAGAATTGTTGATGTTCAAACAATTTGTGAGGAATCTAATGAGGAGTGACTAGCATTGCTTAGAGAAAGGCTCTAACCTGGTAAAACTCACAGTTGAGTCTGATATGTTGGACTGACTCACCAGGTCACAGGCTAAAGATTTTGGAGATGCCACGCACAAGCAGAGTGGGATTGACAATGGGTCATATCCCACCTTTCATGGAATCACAGTACTGGGCCAGGATCCAGAGAAAATACATCTTTTTTCACTTCAGTGGCTCTGACTTCAAAACTGTAGTATTTTATTTTCCCTAAGCCATAGAATTTGCTGAAATCACAGGTAACCTAATTACTGTTTTCTGTTTAAATCAAAATTATCTTGGAAATGCCAGCCTCTGAATAAAATTCTACTATTTAGGAACAATGAAGTTTTTTTTATAAAATATTACAAAAAGCACTATCAAAAACATTTATGAGACTTGTAATTTTGGATGATAATGTAAAAATGTCAATAATGGAAAATATTTATTTAAAGCATGATTTGTTGTATAAATATCAATAAAAATAAGTCATATGAGTCATATGAATATATTTATGTCTTTCTATAATGTCTAGCTGTATTGAATAGCAATAAATTCACAAGATTTAGCCATTTAAATGACAGCAATTTTGTATAAAAAACGCCCATCTTAGTAATCTGCTTGAGGAGAATGCCAATTCATCATTCCAGTATTAGTTACTAACATTAACTTTCAAATAACATACCAAATAGTGAACATATTTGTCCCTCTTTAAATGTATATATGGATTACTTGATGAATACAAGTTGAAGAGTCTGCAGTAGAGTTCAAGAGGTCTCAGAAGTGGCTTAGAAAAAAATCTGCAATAAGGAACCCATCCTGGGCAGAACTGCTGTGGGAGGGAGTGGGGTCAGGTCTGAGAGAGAAGCAGTGAAGCTCAACTGTGAGATCAACGGCCAAACTGGGTCAAGAGCAGAAAATAGCAGTTCAGACAGGTGAATTTGTGTATAGGCAGGCTGTTGAGTAGGCAGCTTCAGTAGTAGGGACCCAACTGAGTCAAGGAATCCACACACACACACACGCGCACACACACACACGCACACACAAACCCACACACACACACCCACACACATTGTTCAGAGGCCTTGCCATCACAGTCTTAGGTGTCCATCACTTTATGAAATCAGGCAAGAGACTTGCATCCTTTCCTGGGTGTCTGATAACTTCTTTCTCTGCTTTCTTTGATTTGATCTTGTATGCCCTCTTACCCACACATGTTCATTTGTCCCCAGTATACCTATAGGATGACTGGCTTTCTATCCCCAGGAGTAAGTTATCTGCCAGACTGTGCTAGGTAGGTGGGGTTTGGTGGAATTCCTGGGTCTATGAGGGGGCTTCCAATAGCTCAACTGGCTCTTGATTATTATCTGCTACTGAACTGGGTGTCTGGTTTCCATTGTTGTAGATTGTTATGTCAAAACAGGTCTTGAAAGATGTGTAAGATCTTGGAAGCTAATGGGCTTGCTGGTTTGCAAAGAGAATTTCAGTAGCAAAGGTGAGAAGGATGACTCAACTAGAGTAGGAGGAATGTGAACAGAAAACCTGTGCAAGTAAAGTCTGTCCAGAAAATGTTGGACCTTGAAAACCAAACAGAGAGCTTTGCTCTTTGCTCTTAGGATTGTTGATGAAGCCAGCAGTTGCAAACATGCAAAGGAATGTGATAAGATAATGTAAATACTACATAAGTTTAGCATTCATGAATTTAGATCATCTTTCCCTGATTTGGGGAACAGTTCTTCTGGGATACTAAGGGAGGCCTGTTTTTAACCTAGATTTTCCATTCCCAGAATTCCCTCTGTTTGTGTTTTCTTTATTCCTTCTGTTTGCATTTTCCAGTCTTGAATAGTTTCCGTCACCTGTTTGTTTGTGTTTTTCTTGGCTTTCTAAACATATGACACACTTCATAAATTTGCATGTCATCCTTGTACACGGTCCATGCTAATTTTCTCTGTGTCCTTCCAGTTTTAGTATATGTGCTGCAGAATCTAGCGTGAGGCCTGTGTTTATAAATAAAACAGTGTAATGTTCAGTTGTATGTTCCTCCCCTGTAATGAGTATTTCAGAACAAACTCTTTACCTCACTGTCCTATCGTTAGCCAACTGACAGAATGCTATAGAGTGGATGGTCATTTGGATGCCTCAAAACTAAAAGGAGAACCCAGACTCCTTTTCTTTATTACTAAAACTTCCCTGCCTTTAGTTTATTCTTGGTCCTGCATGATTAAACATCTTGTTTGAGAAAAGGAGAGCAATGGCTAACATGACAAAACTACAAGAACAAGTTTACTTATTATTTTCTGTAGGCAGTTTTTTGTTGTTGCTTTGTTCTTGTTTTTTTACATATATAGTTACATGATGTCTTAAAATTATTTCTCTCCATCCCTGGAGACACCAGGGAACTCAAGAGAACTCTTATTAAGCAAAGGCCAATGACAGAACACTGAGGAGAGGGATCAACACAGAGCTAGTTTAAAGTGTGTGGTTTAAAAACCAGTGTTCTCAGCCAGGCATTGGTGGTGCACACCTTTAAACCAGAGGCAGAGGCAGGCGGGTTTCTGTGAGTTTGAGATCAGCCTGGTCTACAGAGCGAGTTCCAGGACAGGCTCCAACACAATACAGAGAAGCCCTGTCTGGAAAAACAAACAAACAAACAAAAATAAATAAATAAATAAATAAAAATCAGTGTTCTCGTTCTCAAGGTGCATTGCAACAAGATGTAGCCCATTGTCCTTTTGATCATCTTGATTTATGAGGTTCCATGAGTTGGTGAGTCTTGTAGATAAAAAGCTGTAGAATAGTCCTTACATACCTGCTATTTGCAGCTGATTTGATGAATTTAAAAAAAAAGCACATGACACAGTAATGGAAGGAGCGGTGGTGTTTTCAGCAGGTGGACTACAAGAGACTAGAACTCTGAGTAGAGATCTATACAGTATGGGAGTAATTGTGTCAAATTTTGGAAGGAAAGTGGCTCTGGAAATTTAAAGGAGTAAACTAAAGGGAAAATGTAGTGGTGATACAAGAAAGCTAAACGGTGTGAGAGGGACTTTTATTCTATTATTCCATTGTGCTTCAATTAATGCTAAGCAGCATATTATTAACAAAAGAGACTGTCTTCTCTTCTTAATCAGGGACTAGAGTGGATCACTTCATGTGCAATTGAGAAATAGAGGCTTATCATACATATAATACTTTGGTTTAAATGTGAAGTGTTGAACACAAAACCATAAATTTACACAGTTGTCACCCAGGTGGTGGCACTGTTTTGAGAGGCTATGGAAGGTTATGGACATGAGGGTCTAAGTGCAAGATATAGAGCTGTGATCAGAGCATGCAGCTTATAACCACTCTGAGATAGCCTTTCTCTTTTTGCTTTAACTTCTTCATCTGTGAAATGAGGAATAGATTTTCCTCACAGCGTTTTCTGAATCAAATGAGATAAAGTGTATAAATTAACGAGAACACTATTTCAAATAAAATAAACACTATGTCCTATTACAATAGGATAAAGTAACAACTGTTAGAACAGCACTTCTAGGAGTTTAACTATTTGACAAGGATATGGAGCTTATTTGAAATATCACTCAAGAGCAACCATTCCAGCATACTATGGTATGTAGAGTGTAGACTGTTCTGGACTTTGGGCTAATGAAGATCTAGCTTCTGTTTGTGAGGACTGTGTCCTAGTTTACAAGGTTGTGGTGTTGGTTTTGATCATCTAGTATTTTGAATATCCTGAATTGCGTATTCTATGATTTCCAGGCAGATGTTGACAAAGCCGTGAAGGCTGCACGGCAGGCTTTTCAGATTGGCTCCCCGTGGCGCACCATGGATGCTTCAGAAAGAGGGCGCCTACTGTTCAAGCTGGCCGACTTAGTGGAAAGAGACCGCCTGCTGCTGACTGTGAGTATTCACTAACACCAATGGGAGACAGAGGAGATGCTCTGGAGGGCAGGCACCGTTCCAAGTGGCTGGTTAGTTTTTTAGAGCCAGATCGGCAAACTTGCCCCTGCCCTTTTCTAGAACTTCTCAGAGTCCAGAAGCCAGTTGTGCTAGACTTATTAAAGCTCTTCATGCTCTCAGGGCCTGCATTTTCTAATTTCAATAGTTACATAAGTCGGTATAGAACATGGATGGAGGGTCCATTCCCTTTGTTTTTTCTGCTTTGAATTTTAGTAAAGCCAACTGAAAACAAAGTGGCATGCAGGTTGCAACTCAGAGTAAATGTTACTAGCTTTAGAATCTTAACTGACAATAAGATTCAAATCTTCTTTTTATCAAAACTACCAACAATTCAGCAATTGTTGAGAATCATTTATTCCCTAAGGACTCTGCATTGTTCAAAACATGCCAAAATAGAATTTATAGCTCTGTATGTAATAAATGTATTCAAACTGAAATGTTCAGTTGAAAGTAACTGGCATTGTCCAAAGCTTAGCTCTTTTTATTTGTCTTAACTGCAGAGTGAAAAGTGTTAATTTCTTCTGTGAGCTTGAGAGCCATAGAGAGAGGAGAATAAATATAAGAAAGTAGACAATATCAAATCTGTGCATCTTGCCAGGTGACCTCCCAGTAGAATGTATCCTTTAAAATCTGCTTAAACAAAGGGGAAGAGAAGATATTGCTAAGAAAATGTGGAACATCATAATCTTTCATTTTTCCTTTTACATAAAATGGATTATTTTCTTGTACAATATATCCTGATTATATTTCTCCTCCTTCTATTCCTCCCATATCCTCACCCCCGCATAGGGATCCACTCCCTTTCTGTCTCTTATTAAAAAAGGACAGGTTTCTAAGAGATAACAACCAAACATGACAAAAATATAGTAAGTTAAAGTTAAAACTGTCATTTTGAAGTTGAACACAGCAAACAAACAGAAGGAAAGTAGCCCCAAGAACAGGCATAAGAGTCAGAAACTCTCTTATTCACACAGTCAGGAGTCCCATAAAAATACTAAGCTAAAAGCTATAATATATATGCACAAGACATTGTGCAGACCTGTGCAGGCCCTGTGCTTGCTGCTTCAGTCTCTGTGAGTTTGTGTGCACCTTGCTTAGTTGATCTAGAGAGTCTTGTTTTCCTGGTGTCTTCCTTTTTCTCTGGCTCTTACACTCTTTCTTCCTTCTCTTCCATGTGGTTCACTGAGCTCTGAGAGAAGCGATTGTTGAAATAATTATAAAAATATTACCCAAATGGGAATTTGTAGTTTAAAACTCTGCTATAGCAAATTCCCGATGAAAGACACATTCAGATGACAAGTAAAATCTTGTTGGAACTCTGATAGGAAGTAGATACTAAGAATCATTTTCACAGCTGTGAACTTACATAGCCAGTGCTCAGATACTGCTTAGCCAAAGGTACTTAGAATCTGACAGAAAGATTAAGGGGGGATGGGTTTCAGGCAATCAGAATCTTACTACCTCTCTTACCAGGATCTTGTTATGTGAAGGCAAAAAGACATTTGATTCTTTCTTAAGTTGTTTTCAAAGGAACATTAGATTTAAGAGTCTTTCTATTTCCAAAGGTCTCTAGTACATAAGCACTAAAAAGATTGACTATATATTCTTGATCTAATTTTTATTGTTGAAAGTTTAGACTTTGCTTTTACTACCTATTTTTCAGACAATGGAGTCAATGAATTCTGGGAGACTCTTCACCCAGTCATACACGATAGATTTTGAGATCATCATAAAAGGATTAAAGTACTGTGCAGCCTGGGCTGACAAGATCCATGGTCAAACAATACCAAGTGGTAAGTATGTCTGGGAAAATACAAGCATGATTGTAGAGGTGATGCCATTAGTGCAGATCTCCTTGATAAATGTGTGCATCATCTAGGTAAATAATTGTTTTCTTCTTCACATTGACCTAACACAGTTCTGATGCTAGAAGTTCTGTTAAGAGTCAACATTGTGGATTAGTAAGAACATTCTCATAGACTCAACTACTAATCTGAGTGAGATGTCTCAGGGTCCTAACTTTTCAAACTGGCCATGAAAATTATATATTGAGCTCCATTTCCATAATGACATTTGTATCTCTTCTATAATATTATCACCTAAGACTTTGAATGTCCAGAATGAATAATCTGTGCCAATCTGTGCCCATTTAAGCCCAGTACACTTAGCTCAGGGTATTTCAAAAACCCAATTTACACTAACGTGTTCACAAAGCACCCAAACAAGATGAGACAATGATTACCAGGTGAGTTGAGAACCTTTGCATGGAAATGTTGTGCATTACTTAGTGAGGTATACAAGTAGCAGAACAGACACGTGACAAGTATTTCACGTGAGAAAAGAATTAGTTTGGGAAGGATTGGAGGTGGTTTCACATCTTTAACTGCAATGACTTTAGGAATGCAAATAATCCAATTCAAGTTCTGCCTGTGATGTGTACTTCCAATCTAGCTGGAAGATACAGTAGAAGAGGTGTTTGCCAGGAAGTTAGAAGATGAGAGTAAGACAACAGGGGTACTAGGAATGGGGGCTATTTCTTCACTCTTAGGAAGCATAGAGGAAGCCATTTTAAGTTCCAGTAGATTTTGACAGAGAAAGTGCTGGTGGGGTAGCAGGTTCCTGTGGAAGTCAGAACAAAACGTACAACTCCACATGAGGCCATATCACAGTAAGTGTTTTCTATGATAAAACACCATGACCAGAATCAACTTGTGAAGGAAGGGGACTCTTTCACTCGTATTTCCACACTATACTCCATCTCTGGGGAAAATAAGGGCAAAAATTCAGGGGGAAACTTGGAGGCAGTAACTGAAAGCAGAGGCCATGGACAAATACAGATTACTATAGGCTTACCTTTTATGGCTTGCTCAGCCTTATTTCTTATTCCAGGATGACCTGCCAAGTGATGACACTGTTTACAGTGGGGTAGGCCATCCCACATCCAACAATAATTGAGAAAACTCTGCATAGACTTGCCTACAGAGCAGTCTGATGGGAACATTTTCTCAATTAAAATGTCCTCTTCCAAG